GCCATTAAATGCCATTAAACCAGGTCTGTCAAATTTACCAGGAGCTAATGCCAAGTCTGTCACATTATCTTTCTGTATCTTATACTGAGTCTGTCATATTTTCCTTTATCTTATATCAAGTCCGACACGTTTTTTTTCTCTTATAGATAGAGATAAGTTGATTGTTCTCTGAGGATAATCTAGTACATAATACCGAATCTGTCACATTCCCCATTATCTTATGCCAAGTCTGTCACGCTTACTTGTAACTTATGCCAAGTCTGTCATATTTCCCAATACCTTATACCAAGTCATATTTGCCAGTACTAAAATACCAAGTATGCCCCACATTTCACTACCTAATAATTAAGTCTGTCACATTTTCTAACATCTTATACCAAGTCTGTCAAAACAGCAGGATCTATTAGCAAGTCTGTCATATTTCCCAGTATCTTATACCAAGTCTGTCACACTTTTCAGTACAGTATACCTTATATGCAAATTCCTTCCCTGGAAAGGACTCGAACCTAGGCACCCAAGGGAACACCCAGAGAGAACAGAACTAAGCCACAAGACAGTTCTCTTTAGGTGCTACCTGGAGTGACTGGATTCGAAGAGGGTATTTATATACATTTACATATCTAGATAAAATTCTTAACTGCATTATTACGTCGTATATGTATATACACACTTTATAATAACTTGAATTGTTAAAGTAATAAAAATTCCTACACAAGATCGTCACTATTTTTCTTGTCATGTAAAAGTAAATCTTCATCATTAATTTCAACTGCTTGTTCTTATCACATTTCCCTTCAAAATTACCTTCCCCAATGATATTTTTTCTTCTAATATTCACATGGACCAAATTTCCTCATCAAACTGTTCATACTAAAACAAGTTTCCATTAAACTATATCTATTCCACTCTTCAATTAATCCCTCAGAAATTATAACATTTTTTTTTTTTTTACCCAACTGTGCCAGGGCGCTGGAAATGATTACCTGTAAGTCTCATGAACACCTTTGCTCGTTAATTACCATGAGGCGGGATTTAATCACGCCCCACTTCATCTGACTTCTCTCATCATGAATAACTTTTGCATGAACCTCGTCAGCAACTTTTGAGCTCTCTTGAACACTTAGTGAAATGTTTTTTTTTCTTGTTAAGTGTATGTAGTTTGTGGTTAAATGCTTAGTTGTGTGTCAAAAGTCGAAAACTATAGCAATAGCAAAATATTAGTGCCAAGTGTCAAAAGTATGGTAGTAGGGAAGAATCAAAAGAGTCAAGTATCAAAGGTATGTCGGTAGGTAAGTGTCAAGTGTCAAAGTGGCAATAGGTAAAGGTCAAATGTCATAAAGGGGCAATAGGTAAGTGTCGTAAAGGGACAATAGGTAAGTGTCAAGTGTTATAAAGTGGCAATAGGAAAGTGATAAGTGTCATAAAGTGGCAATAGGTAAGTGTCAAATATCAAAGTGTGGCAATAGATAAGTGATAAGTGTCATAAAAAGGCAATAGGTGTCAAAGTGTGACAATAGGTGTCATAAAGTGGCAATAGGTAAGTGTCAAGTGTCATAAAGTGGCAATAGGTAAGTGTCAAGTGTCATAAAGTGGCAATAGGTAAGTGTCAAGTGTCATAAAGTGGCAATAGGTAAGTGTCAAGTGTCATAAAGTGGCAATAGGTAAGTGTCATAAAGTGGCAATAGGTAAGTGTCATAAAGTGGCAATAGGTAAGTGTCATAAAGTGGCAATAGGTAAGTGTCATAAAGTGGCAATAGGTAAGTGTCATAAAGTGGCAATAGGTAAGTGTCAAGTGTCATAAAGTGGCAATAGGTAAGTGTCAAGTGTCATAAAGTGGCAATAGGTAAGTGTCAAGTATCAAAGTGTGGCAATATGTAAGTATCAAGTGTTATAAAATGGTAATAGGTAAGTGTTAAAGTGTGGCAATAGATAAGTGTTAGATGTGTGGCAGCAATTAAGTATCGCAACAGAGTTGTGACAAAAAGTGTCATGTCATGTGTGGATGCATGTGTCAAAAATGTCAAGTGTCGAATGTAACAAGCTTCTGTCGTCAAAATTGTGGCAGAAGGAAGGTGCCAAGTGTCAAAAGTATCAAGTGTTCAAAATATGGCATCAAGTAAGCATCGAAAGTGTCACGTGATAAACGTGTAAAACCTTTGCAGTGTGACAGCAGGTGTAAAAATGCAGCCAAATGCCAAAAGTGTCCAGGCATCAAAAACGTCAAAATGTAAAAATGAGGGATCAGGTAAATGTCAAAAAAAGCGAACACCAGAATCGCCAAAGTCAAAAGTCTCGCAGAAAAAGCAACCTGACTCACCCCCTTTGCCATCTTCCCCTGGAGGAGGGTGTGAAGGCGGTCGTACAAGCTGTTGATATGATTATTATTACTGATGCCCTGCGTCAGGAGCTTGGCCGACGACACCTGTTCTCGAAGCTTCGCCAGCACGTCCTCGCCCTCAAGGACCATGCCGTCGCTGTCAGGCTTCAGGGGGCTGTCACG